TAATATTATAACATAATAAATATTGAATTTGAATGCTGGTGATCTCGTAAGAGAAATATCGCTAGAACTGATTTTCATACTCTGCCGCGGGAATTTATACCCGTGTATAAAATACACATGTATGCTTGAATACATACAAGCCTTCAAAACCGGTTTATGTAATCCGTTACAGTTAGACAATGGTTCTCCTCTATACGATGTAACGCGGAGAACCAGTAATTCTATTATTAATTTTATTTTTAGGCAAAGACGTTATATGTACATCCACTTAAATTTGAATAATGTTGTATTTTTATTTATATAGGTCTTATCTTTCCAATGATGCAAAATAATTTTATCCAGATTATGATTTTATGGTTAAGAATCTATTGCTATTCAGACTAATTTTTATGGATTAAAGGAAGAGAACATTACTAGGGTTCTCACTGTAAAGCAATTATACCAGAAATTCTTTAAGTATTTTAGAACAAGATTAGCAATAATTTCTTATTTTAGCAATATTAACGTGTAATATGCATATGAATATGGAATGAGAAGAGAGGTAACTTGTAAGTGTTATATTGGAAATTCTTGCAGAGTTGCCTCCCTTCCATTAGATTAATTTTTAGCTCGACTATTCGATAAGAATAAGTAGAGCTATTGCAGTCACCCGAGCGTCGGCGTCGGCGTCGGCGGAGCCACTTATGTTAAAGTTTTTTTAATAGTTCAAATATTTTCAAAGTCCATTGACATATGGCTTTGAAACTTTGCACACTTGTTCAACATCATGACCCCAACCTGTAAACAGGAGGAGGTAACTCTATCAAGCATTTTGACAGAATTATGCCCCTTTTTCGACTAAGAATTTACGTTAAAGTTTTTGTAATAGTTCAAATATTTTCAAAGTCCATTGACATATGGCTTTGAAACTTTACACACTTGTTCACCATCATGACCCCAACCTGGAAACAGGAGGAGGTAACTCTATCAAGCATTTTGACAGAATTATGCCCCTTTTTCGACTTAGAATTTACGTTAAAGTTTTTGTAATAGTTCAAATATTTTCAAAGTCCATTGACATATGGCTTTGAAACTTTGCACACTTGTTCACCATCATGACCCCAACCTGTAAACAGGAGGAGGTAACTCTATCAAGCATTTTGACAGAATTATGCCCCTTTTTCGACTTAGAATTTACGTTAAAGTTTTTGTAATAGTTCAAATATTTTCAAAGTCCATTGACATATGACTTTGAAACTTTGCACACTTGTTCACCATCATGACCCCAACCTGTAAACAGGAGGAGGTAACTCTATCAAGCATTTTGACAGAATTGTGCCCCTTTTTCGACTTAGAATTTACGTTAAAGTTTTTGTAATAGTTCAAATATTTTCAAAGTCCATTGACATATGACTTTGAAACTTTGCACACTTGTTCACCATCATGACCCCAACCTGTAAACAGGAGGAGGTAACTCTATCAAGCATTTTTTTTACTATCAAGCACTAAGAATAGTCGAGCGTTGCTGTCCTACCGACAGCTCTTGTTATAGTATCTTGCAATTCTGATTAGAATGGCCGTACATAAATAACTTTTATTTTGTAAAATTATGTCATGGAATTGTTTTATGTTGTTATGTATGGATGAGACTCAAATATTGAATATATACATATGTATTTTCCATCTTGAAGGAAAAGCTAAAGTTAAGAAAAATGTGCGCCTGTTTGATCAAAGTTTCGGCCTTATTGACTTGGCTCAAAGATCGAGACACTAGACGCCTGAGAGAATGTGTCATAGGAGATGAAACATGGCTTCATTTTTTATTTTCGTTTTAATCCCTTATTATCTTTTTTTGAGCCCGACAATAAACTTAGTAACAGCATGTGGGTAAGTGAAAACAGCGATCGCCCAGTTGTTGCTGGACGTAACAGGAGCGTTACCAGAGTTATGTACGCTCTATTCTTGACAGTGATGGAGTAGTGGCCCGTGTCGCTTTGCCTGAGAGGTGTTGTGTCACTGAAACATTTTACCGTGACCATGTTCTCACTGCTGTAGTTTATCACTACATTACAAGGTCCGGGGTGCGCAGGAACAAATTGCTCCACGATAATGCACCTGCGCACCGGTCAGCCTTGGTTCAGGCTTATTAAAAGACCAGATAATTGAGGTTATGTACATCCCGCTTATAGCCCTAACGTCTTTCCTTGTCACGTTTGGTTTTTATACATCAAATCTTACCTTCGCAGTCACCGGTTCAAAACCTGTAGTGCCACTGGAAGCGCTGTAGGAGCACATTTGTCTCGGAGCACATTTGTCTTACGTAAGACCGATGCGGTCGCATTTGTCCCACATGAGACAAATGCGACCTCAAATGTCTACCCCAAAAAACTCATTTGTGTGACAAATGTGCTCCGATCAAGTTTTTTAAGGGACAAGAAAGCACATTTGTCTCATGTGTTTTTAAGGGACAAGAAAGCACATTTGTCTCATGTCATTTTTTATGAATTTATTTGTCACATATTTCCCCACGACTGAAACATACTAAATCCCGTTCACGATGGTACAATGGTGACAGCGCAAAGGCACGATGGAACGTTGATGAACGTTATTGAAAACGCGATGGTGCAATTGTGAAAACACAATGGTACGAACGTGAAACAACGATTGTACGATGGTGAAACAACGATTGTACGATGGTGAAACAACGAAGGCTCGATGATGAAAACGTGATGGTTCTATGATGAAAGACGATGTTACGATGGTGAAAATACGATGGTACGATATGATGAAACTGCGATGGCATGATGATGAAAACGCGATATTAGTTTCTCTATCGTGTCATCGCATCATCGTGATTTCACCATCGTGTCATCGTGTTTTAATCATCGAACCATCTCAATTTCACCTTTGTACCATTGTGCATAGCTGTTCTGGGAGACAAAAATGTAACTTATGTTCAAACGAAACACCATAATCGGTTGATATTGAATGATACAATATCGTGACTCGTTTCGCATCTCGCCGAAATCTCGCGTCTCGAGAAATCTCGCGTCTCGCTTCGCGCCCCGTTCGTCGACGCGAGACAAGAAATTGATTCCAGGTCATATACCGCTAAGTAGTATTCCCTTTATATTCTACATAAAATCACTTTAAGGTCCATTATGCCTGAGAAAATTAATGCTTTTATTTGTGTTCCTCAAAAGCCTTTTATTTTTGGTATACTTTTTTAGCTCTAAAAAGTTACTCATTGGCTAATTACCTGAAGAATTTTTCATCTGCTGCTTTGTTGCAGTTTGTACAGTTGAAGTGATTTAGAATTTTGTATTGAAGTCAAAGTACTACATTGTTTACATTTTGCTACTTTTATGACGCATTATTCACTTTTATCGCGAATTTCTTTGGGTTACAAGCATCTAACTTCCTCAGAAATCATTATTTGAAAATATTAATAAAGTCATACTTGCCCTATCTAAAGAAGTAAAAATTTATTAATTTCTGAAATCTCTTGGCACGGGATACTTCGACATTGCGAGATCTCCTGTTACAATATCGTGCCTCGCTTCGTGTCTCATCGGAATGTCGCGTCTCGCCCGATTCTGAGTGGCCCGATATTTCATAATCATGGCATTAACCGGATTATTTTTGGAACTCATGCATGTTGTAAGTGCCTTTTTAATGGCGAATCTGAAAGCCGCAATTCTTGGGAAATGACGACTTTTTATACATATATTTCTGATGAAAACCAAATACGTGTGTAATAGCCTTGTTATTTTCTCCATGGATCATTTAAGGGCCTCCGTGACCGAGTGATTTCAAAACACCACTTGCCCCTAACCGCTGTAGGTTCGACAAATACACGGGGCTTCGAACTATTCATGCGAGTATCCCGGTCAGGGTCCAAATGCGCAATAAATATGCGCGTGCGCACGTAATAGCTATCGCGCGCGCACGTAATAGTATCGCGTGGCCACGGAAAAGCTATCGTGTGCGCACGAAATAAATAAGAAAATTCTGTGTCCCCTTTATGCCACCGTAGATACTACCTTGTTTTTGCTAAGAATATTTCTAGTGCCATAAATCATTTATAAAAGCATTGAAAATAAACGTATCACAATTGATAACGATAAGAATAGACTTGCTGCATATTCGTTAAGGTTTTGGATGCTGCACTTGTAGAAATTTTCATTGTGACATGCAGAACAGGGATATTCTTAAATTTAATATATGACTCCTATGTAGAGACAGGGAGTTTTTGACTGACCGGAAGTGACCTAAAAACGGTATTATAAATACAGAAAACACAGAACAATGGCTGGTAGTCGGTATACAGATGGACATAATTATCACCTTTTATGAATTTTATGGAAAAAATGTGAGACAAATGTGCTTCGAGTGTCCTTTCTATTGTGTGTCGAACACATCTGTCTCATTTCCAATTTGTCGCAAATATGAATATTTACGAACACATCGGTCACACTTCGTGAGACAAATGTGCTCCGTAAAACGTTAAGTGTGACAGTTGTTATTTCACTTAAATTATTAAGGAGGACATTTCGTTCATCTTGGTACCTTGGACACGAGAAGAAACCGGAAGTTATAGAAACTGGAGTACTAATATTGAAGCCGGTGATACAACTATATTATTTTCAAAAACCCACCACTCAGATGTTTTATTAAAAACAGCGACAACCCCTGTTCGTGCTGATTTGCGATATGCAGAAGCAAATGTTGTAATAGACAAAAGAGCCCAAAGATCTTTTATCACCCAAAAGTAAGCCGATTAAACTTCAATTGAATATTGATGGAACCGATATTATACATTTATCAGCGTTCGGCGACCCAGCGCACAGCGTTCAACATCTTAATACGGCAACTATAAATTTAGTAGCAGACGACGGAATGTTAATCCCAATCCGAGTATTGATTGTTCCCGTGATAGCAAAGCCATCAATAATGTATATCGCAACTCCATCAAACACTTGAAATATCTACAAGGACTCAAACTTGCTCACCCTGTTACCATGGATACCACATTCGATATATCACTATTAATTGGTGCTGATTTTTACTGGCAGATAGTTGGCGACAAAATTATTAGAGGTGATGGACCCACTGCTGTAAGTTCCCGCATTGGTTACTTCTTATCCGGCCCACTTCATGTAGAGAGTAGTTATCCACCTTCCAATGTTATGGAAGTCATAGCAACCCACGTATCTGAAACGACAGACCTCACTCGATTTTGGGATATAGAATCAATGGGTGTTTCAAAAGGAGACTGTGAAGATACCGATGCCTCTTCTTATCTACAACAGTACCAGAAATCGTGTATTTCATTCTCAGACGGAAATTACACAGCGAAGTTGCCATGGAAACAGAATCATCAACCCCTCCCTTCAAACTATAACATTACGAAGAAAAGAACAGAATGTGCAATAAAACGCCTAAGTCAGAAGCCCCAAATGTTGATGAAATATAACGATATTATACAGGAACAAGAAAATAGAGGTTTCATTGAAAGAGTAGACGAAAGTTCCAGAGCAAAACGCGTGCATTATATACCACATCATGGAGTTGAAAAGAATTCCACAACAACGCCCATACGAATAGTCTATGACTGTAGTTGCCGCCAATCAGAAAGAAGTCCAAGTTTAAACGACTGCCTTGAATCCACACCTCCAGAGCTGAATGATCTAACCACCCTTCTGTTAAGATTTCGGCTTGGTAGATATGCAGTATCAACTGACATAGAGAAAGCCTTTCTACATGTCGGTCTACACGAAGATGACAGAGCTGTTACCAGATTTCTATGGTTATCTGACCCTACAGATCCCAAAAGCCAGCTTGTGACATACAGATTTCGAGTTGTTCTTTTTGGAGCCACATGTTCCCCATTTATTCTCAATGCTACATTACTAAAACACATGACCCTGAATGCAAGTAACCCTGCCGCTAATATAATTACCAGAGACCTGTATGTCGACAATGTAATTTCAAGTTTTCAACAAGAACAGGATCTTCTTACCTATTTCCGGTACGCACGTGCTCTCATGTCCGAAGCAGGATTCAATCTGCGATCGTGGACTTCAAACTCCAGTAAATTATGTGAATACGCAGTAGCTGAAAAAGTCTTGGACAAGGATAAAGTTGTCAAGGTATTAGGAATGTTATGGGACCCGGATAATGACGAGATGTCGTTTGTACAGCGCACGATAGTAAACTCTGAGAGAACAACCAAACGTTTTATTCTCAAACAGACTTCAAAATTATATGACCCCCTGGGATTGCTTAGCCCAGTAACTGTACGCGCCAAATTACTAGTTCAAGACCTATGGAAGAAGAAATTTGATTGGGACACACCACTTCCGGTTGATATCATTAACACCTGGACTGATTTGAGCATCGACCTGAACAGCGTAATTCAGACCAAGTTCCAGAGACCATATTTTCCCACCACTGAAAATACAGCAAATTCTGCCGATTTTAATTTACACGTGTTTGTTGATGCAAGTGCACGTGCTTATGGAGCTGTAGCGTATCTTACTTCCGGTCATACATCTACCATTGTATTTGCAAAGAATAGAGTCGCACCTGTGAAAGAGATAACTTTACCCAGACTAGAACTGATGGCAGCACTCATCGGTGCACGTGTAACCCACCACGTGTCAAATGCATTCACGTGCAAGAAAATCACAAGTTTGTCCGACAGTCAAAATGTGTTAAGTTGGCTGAAATCTACAAATACACTAAAACGCTTCATGTTGAACAGAGTCGAAGAAATCAAGAAACTTACCCCCGATATTGAATGGCGATATTGTCCAACAGATCAAAATCCCGCTGATTTACAAACCAGAGGTTTAACTGCGATCCAGTTACAATCAAGCACATTATGGAAAAATGGACCTACTTGGTTAATTCACAACAATAAATGGCCTACTTTGGAACAAACTAGGGCAATCACTTTCACTACGTTGACGGAACAAAATTCAGAGGAAGAAATTGTATCTGACAAGAGAGGTAACTCTGGTTTACGTCAAATTCTAGAGTTAAACAGATATAGCAGCTTTCACAAGTTATTACGTGTTACGGCATACGTTATACGTTTCACTAAAAACTGTAGAGTGACGTATAATTATCGCCAAATTTGTCCATTATCTACAGAAGAGCTGAGATTAGCAGAAGGAAAACTGATTGAAACTTGCCAACAACAATATTTCCCAGACGTAATTCAAGATCTTAAATCCCAGAAAAAACGCAGTCCAATAATTCGACAGCTAAGACTTTATTTAGACAAGGACGGTTGTATTCGTTGTGGCGGAAGAATACATAACGCACAGTTGCCAGAGACAACAAGATTCCCGTTCCTTATGTCCCCAAAAAGTCATGTCACCAGACTGATAATAGAAGACGCTCATTACAATCAGTTACATGCAGGTGTCGCCCATACTGTTACCCATTTACGCCAGAAATACTGGATACCATCAATCAGACAGCACGTGAAAAGTGTTCTCCGAAGATGTGTCATTTGCAGAAAAGTTACAGGAAGACCCTATACCGCCCCAGATCCCCCACCACTTCCGGTTTCCAGAGTAATCGTCGAACCACCCTTTCTCCGTAACAGGTGTTGATTTCACAGGGGCACTTTACATTAAAGAAAAGCAAGTTCAGCAGAAGGTATACATATGTCTATTCACGTGTGCCAAAACCCGTGCTGTTCATCTAGAAATAGTTCCAGACCTTACAGAAGAATCATTTATGTTAGCCTTCAGACGATTCATCAGCAGACGATCATTACCAAGACTGATGATATCTGATAATGGTACCACTTTTCATGCAGCAGCCAATCAAATCCGGCGACTCTATAATTCGCAAAATCTTCATACTGCCCTTACACAAAGAGGAACACACTGGCAGTTTATTCCAAAAAGAGCACCTTGGTATGGTGGAATGTGGGAGCGACTAATTGGTGTAATGAAAACAGCGATTAAGAAAGTTCTCGGCAAAGCTTCCATTAATTTGCAAACGCTGCAGACGATAGTTACCGAAGTAGAGGCAATGATGAACGATCGACCAATTACCTACGTTTCATCTGCTAGAGATGATCCAGAGCCTCTCACCCCTTCACACTTACTACATGGACGCAGGCTGACAACTCTACCATTCTACGATACTGTGGTAACCAACGATACTCCCGGTTACCACAGCAAAGGTGACGATGTTCGACAACGTGCTAAACGACATGAGGAGTTAATTAATCACTATTGGCACCGCTGGAAACACGAGTATCTGACGTCATTAAGAGAATACCAACGGTCGAGTGGTACCACAAACCAGACTATTCAGGTTGGTGACGTTGTTATTGTCCAAGACGACTTTACACCCAGGCTACAGTGGAGCCTTGCGGTAGTTGATGAACTTTTAACGGGAAATGACGGGTTTTCGAGGGCCGCGAGGATACGTACATCCGGAGGGCTGACTACACGACCGATTATCAAATTGTACCCATTGGAAATTATCCAGAAACCAGATGAATAGACATTACGATACTTATTGAAATATTTATCCTATACCGCTAATATTTCGTGAAAAGACAATTCAATTTGTATAAACATAGACGAGTGAAAATAATTCAAAACGAGACTTTACATAGCGCCAATCTGTTTGTGATATATCTAAATATAGCTGTTTTAATTATGGTGCTCAATTTCAATATGATTTTAAATAAGGTATTCCATTACTTTATGTTTTTGTATGACAATTATTACATTTAGCATTTCTGAGGCCCGGAGAATGTTGTAGATTTGGCGCGACGTCACGTAACGTCGCTTTTGCGCGAATTGTTTACTTATGTTTTTAACGTAACGTCATTTCCTATGTATGTAAACATTCAGTTTGAATAAAGGAAACGAACCGTACACAACGCCTAGTTTTACTCACGATCACGTCCTCAAAACCTGTAGGTAGGTGGGAAACACTGAAAGTGCTTCTGACAAATCCCAAGGGTGTTACCCAGGATCGAACCCGGAACCTCAGGAGTGACTTTCAGTGGTCTAACCAACTGGGCTATCGCGCCACCTCATTAATTATACAAATAAATGTAAAACAAATGTTACTTTTAAACTATACATTTGAACGCATCTAATGCTTCAGATTTGACACAAGAAGGATCAGAGTATGATTTAAAACTTACACATTTATAGCCTTCATATTTGTTTTCATATTTTTTATAAATGCTTATTTAACTTAAACATATAATACACAAAGAAATACAATGTATCAATAATACATATATGTACATTTACACGACAACTAGTATACGTACAATACACATAAAAATACAATGTATATCTAAACATCTATGTATGGGGCTTGTTAGGTATAAAACATATATAAAAATATAGAGAAAAAACAACTTATAGGTCAATTCAATAGTACCAGCACCTTTGACTTCTCAACAAGTCTTTCGGGAGGGTTTTTGTATTTTCTGATCGAATATCAGTAAATACATAGCGGGCATTCAATCTCTGACACAGACTTTCACGACAAACCGATCAACAAGTAGTTCTCAAAACAGCTTAAAACTAGCGATTTAAAAGAAAGAAATATATTTATTTTGTTACAAGTATCCAACAAATTACAATGCACTCTAAGTTTAAAAGTAGCGTTGGCTTATATAATTGTCAATAAATGCACAATCACAAATTACGCGGATAAATATGATTTTAATCAATGAAAATGCTATTTTTAGCGATGTCGATTACCGAATACTACATAAATAAATCTGACTGCCGAGTAGTGGAATATATAGATTCTACATGTCGGACTGTTTGGGCGAGAAGATTTTCGCTAAATTATTTACTTCAGTTTTAAACAACAGGTTTATCCTGAACAAAATACCTCGAAATTAATAAGGATTACAAACCCGAAATGCAATGGAAGTGCTAAACTTAGAATGACTTGATTTTATTCAGGAATTGTTGTATAACTTCTCCGTGGTGCAGGGATAACCCACTCGTTTCGTGTGTGAGAGGTCTGGAGTTCAAATCCCAGTCGAGGCAACTAATTTTTTAAATTCTTTTTTAAGTGTCTTTGTTAAAGAAGTAGCCATGATATGCAAGGATAAAGTGTGGCTGTCATAAAAAATTAACATAAATGATTTTTTGATGCAACTCTAGTTATGCAAAATTTCGTATGTACCAAACTTTGGTGCCTTGCAAGATGAATTATAGTACATAAAAATAAACTAATACAGGAAAATACATACAGATATACAGTACGATTTAGATTACAAAGATCAGAAAATACCACAGAGCTTGCAGCCCTTTGATTTAAAGCTGCACGCATTAAGATGAGTAAAAATATTTCAAGAAACACATGAAAAATGTACAGAGATTTTAAGAAAAAGGAAACAAATTCAAGATTCAAGAAATAATTTTCATGTTATATGCGATTTATGACTGATTTTGCAGTATTTATCACCATATTTCTAATGCGTGACTAACGCAGTGAGGGCTATTTTTAATTTAAATGGTATTTTTCTAGAATCGTGTAGTTCAGTATCAGTTATACTGTCAGCAAACAATGACAAAATTACGAAAAGTAACGGTAATTAAAAATAAGTTAGGCGCGTATTCTTAAACATGCAATTTGGTAAAAAAAGATAATATACAAAATCAAAGGGACGTAACTTTTCTTCCAAACGTGATCTAAAGTAATGCCCTATGTGCCCTTCTTTAAACCAATAAACAAATATAGAGTATTAGACAAACTACTCAACCAACAAACAAAATTCTTGTGCTCACGTTGACTTTATTTTTTGTCTCTCTTAACCTGCTTTTTAGCTCGACTATTCGATAAGAATAAGTAGAGCTATCCTAGTTGCCCGAGCGTCGGTGTCGGCGTAACCACTTATGTTATAGTTTTTGTAATACCTCAAATATTTTCAAAGTCCAATGAAATATGGCTTTGAAACTTTGCACACTTGTTCACCATCATGACCCCAAACTATAAACAAGAGGAGATAACTATATCGAGCATTTTGACATAATTATGTCCTTTTCTCCACTTAGAATTTACGTTAAAGTTTGCATACCACCTAAAATATTTTCAAAGCCCATTGACACAGGGCTTTGAAACTTTGTACACTTGTTCACCATCATTCCCTCAACCTGTAGACAGGAGAAGGTAATTATAGCAAGCATTTTGACAGAATAATCCCCCTTTTACAACTTAGAATTTATGTTAGTTTGCGGACTACCTCTGATATTTTCATATTTCATTGGCATATTCCTTTAAAACAAATTGAAATTTTATACACTTCTTTGAGAGTATAATAGGACTCTCTCCAATGCCCATAACTGTAACATGGATTTGAAAAAATGGCCTTTTTGTGAACTAAGGATTTTTTTATTTATCAAGCACTTAGAATTGTCGAGCGTGCTGTCCTACCATACCATTAGCTCTAGTTATACGGATTTGTCCTAAGAATTTGACTTTTTGTATATTAGAATCATTAACATTTGTTCTGTTATTTTTTCCTAGCTTAATCTTTTTTTCACTTCAAACTATACTACAGATTTTATTAGTGTTAAAAAAACATACAACTGTACATAAATGTCACACTTGACAAGTATGATACATTTTTTTTCCAAAGAGTTCATGTGATGCGTTATTATTTGCTTCTGTACGTATTTTATATGCTTTAATGTAGATAGTGAATAACATATTGGCAATTTCGCGGTGAAATTATCAAAATTGAATTTCACTGTAGCCAAACTATATTTGAATACGGGTGAGAAATAACTAACATAAATAAACGGAAATTTCGTCTGAAAAGAAGCACATATAATTAGATAATTTGCACATATCATGATAAAAATGTACCAGAAATTTTACAAGATCATTTCTCAACACGAAAACTAAAAAACTGATTACATGTTCTCTGAGGCAATGAAAATGATGATAGAAAGCTGGAATGATTATATTTTATATGTATTGTGCGTGCGTGTGTTCATGAGTGTATATATTTTATATTCACCAATCAATAACTTTAATCTGGTATTTCACATGTCATTGGACCCATATGTAGCGTTTGTTTCTTAGTCAGTATATGTTTTGTAGACTATGGTTAATATGTTTTATATCATAAATGTATATCAGAATAGCTAAAAAATATGTACTTTCAAAATATCAAAAAAATAAATTATAAATATCAATTAATACTTGCAAAAAAATAACCTAATTAACGTTATCGATTGGATTCTGGTTATCAAGTAGAAATTGAACCTGCTGTTTTTGTAAAATGGATTTGCTTTAAGTTTAAAGGGACTCAACTTGTCATGACTGGACTGAAAATATATTTTGAAATTAGTTTCCATTTGATGAAGGTCTAGACCAATAGTTTGTGTGCAAAATTTCATATAATTCGCCCACTCCGTTTTCACTGAATAATTAATTATTCGTATAATGAAAGATGACCAAAGTTGAAAAGCTATCGCACCGCTTTCCACTTAAAACGGGATTAAAAATAGTAACGAGTACTTTGATATATTTCCGAGTAAATTTCTTATATTTGCAATATCCGCTTGCCTATTTTTTTTTTTTTTTTTTTTTTTTTTTTTGGCTTTTGTACTTCAGGTGGAGTTCCTTTAAATGATTTCAATATCAAAATAAATGATATTGTGCTATAGCTGAGTCTGTCAGATTGCATAGTTCTTTACTGGTGACAAAACTCGTTCAATTTAGGAACCAACAGGTTTAGTGTTAAACCTAATACACTATACGTCATTAATAATAAATTTGCTTTGCCAATGCACTAAATTTATACTAGATATCATTTAGTTTGTACGATTTGCATTATATAATATCAAAACTTCAAATTGATGACCCTCTTTGGTATTTCTCAAGTTGCTTACAATTAAAAAAAACTTTATTTATTTTCATTCCAAACGTTTGGGTTGTGTACATTAGGTGGTTCAGATGGAATTCAGTGACCGATTATATTACGTTGGTCTACATGTTGGTTTGTATTATATAGGTTTGTAATTTGTGAGCCTACGTGTGGGTTTCAATTATAAAGAACTACATATGGTTTGTTTTATGTGAGTCTACATGAAAGTTTGTATTTTTGGTTTTGTACCATGTGGGCCTACATATGGTTTTGTATTTTGTTGGTTTGTAATTTTTGGCCCTACGTGTGGATTTGTATTATATGGGCCTATATGTGGGTTTGTAAGTTGCAGACCTATATTTGGGTTTGTATTATGTAGGCCTATATGAGTTTGTATAATAAGGGCCTTTATATTGATGGCCTATATGTGGGTTTGTATTGTGTGGGCCTATATGTGAGTTTGTATGATATGGGCCTTTATTTTGATTTGTATTTTCGGGCCTATACGTGGGTTTGTATTATGTAGGCTTTTATATCCCTTGGCTAAGCTATGGAATTCTATATAACCCACTGAAATCTATATAACCATTGCAATCTATATAACACTTTTTAACTCATTGGATTATACTTCGGTAACTTAAGATTA